CACCAATGAGCGTTTTTTCGAACCAATAAAAAGTAATTAAGTCATCATTAGTTTGTGTCGCCATCTGCTTCAGTTTTAGGGAGGTAACATGACATTTACTAATTATGCCATGGTAATTAATCATTATCTAATGATAATTAAGCACTACACGCAGACTAAATAAATGGATGCTGTGTGTGATAAGGAATCAGTCACGTTTTTACCGTCAAACCTATAACATCTTGAAAAAACTTAAAACCAATTTATTCCAAAAACCAAAATTTAGTGAATTTTTCTCAACGATACAAAATGTCATTTCAAAATGAAACAAAAAACCATATTCTACCCACCGTCAATTCACCCAGCCATATTCTGAACGCGCTGAATAACGATTGCATTCAAGCCATCTTTAGAAAATTCTCAAACGTTGGTGACTTTTCGAGTGCATCTAAAGTGTGCAGCAAGTTTTATGAGAATGCGATCGTTGGCTATCCACCAAAGTTTAAAAATCTTGATATTGGCGAAGATTTTGGTTACGATGTAACGAGGATAGAGCATGTAAAATATTTCCTGATGCAATTTGGCTCATTTATAAAATCAATAAAATTTATTGGTTCAACATCAAAAAGACGTGATAATGAAATTATGAAAGTGATTTCTAAATTTTGTGGAAATACATTAAAAGAACTAATAGTTGAAGGAAGAGCAACCGTCGACTTATCTTCGTTTCAAGCTATTGAAGAGCTATCGATACTTTTTTCAAGCGTATCAGGCTTGCAACTACGTTCGCAACAATTAACCCGACTAGAATTGATGGGTGAATGTGGTGGTCTGAATTTAGGGCAACATTTTTCAAAATTAGAGCAAATTGATTTTACATGTTGTCCAATAACAAGTGACGAGTTTCGTTGTTTCTTGAGTTATAATCCACAGTTGAAATACATAAAACTAACTGGTTGCCATGGGCTCACAGCATCGAACATCGAAGACATTGCATATCATACGCCGAATATTGTTACTTTAGATCTCGAAAATACCTTGACGGATGCTATCAATATTAATTTTCGACCGTTCAGCAAATTACGTGCCTTAAAATATTTGGCCATTTTGGATTATAGTATAGATATAGCTTCGCTGGATTGTCTTTATCGTACATTAGCTGAGAACGATGTGCCGCTTGAGATTCTAGAAGTGAATTGTGAAGCTAAAAACATAATGAAATTGAAACATTTGAAAGGATTGTCTATTCAGGAAATATCTGCCGAAAAACTGATCGATTTTGTGAAAAATGTACCAAAAATTGAAATCATCACCACTCCAGGGTTTGGCATAGAAAAAATAACCGTACACGATATAAAAGAAATACTAAAACATGGGAAAAAATTAAAATTTTTGGATTTGGGCACAATTGAAATCGAATATTTTGATGTGAGTGTTTTCAATGACATTGCCGCTTTGGCTGAAGGTCGTACCAAAGTCAGAATTCGTCTTGATCAGATAATTCCAGAAGGAATTGCAAGTCGATGCCATTCCGAGTGGTTGGACATGAAGGAGAGAAAATATATTCATTTTTTGAAGGGATGAAACGATATTCGATGTGCGAAGAACATCAAACCAAGCTGACAAACAAAAGCTGAAGCTAGAGTTTTGAATATTTTTCGAAAAATACTAATATGTTTAATATGTAATTGCAGTTATGTATACCAATTTAATTCTGTGTTTTAATGTTACTTTTTATGAACTTTTTAAATTTAATAAATAAATAAGTCGCAATTGTAACAGAAATATCCCAAAAAATAAAATAAATAAAAGGAAACCAATTTTGTTTTTTATCATTTTATAGAATTTTTTTTAAATCATAGGAAACATTTTCAAACGATTTTTGAAGAATTGTTTTTGGTAAGTTTAATATTACTATGCAAATTCTTACATTTTAAAACTCTTAAAAAATTAAACTCCTTTCATGAGGGAGTTGTTTCTACATCGATTTTATTTGTAATTTTTTTTCACATTCAATGAGTTAAATTCATTGTGTAACATTATAAAATATCTTACATCCGTAAGATGAACTTTTCCGCACTGTGATCCACAACATGCATTTATTACGTATCTTTTACCGTAAATATGAATTCATGAGAAAACTGAATCTGATATAAGTTTTGCGATACAAATAATTTTTGAACGACTTTTCAATGCCTGTATGACAATGATATCGTAATCATGTGAAAATTTGCAGATGTTATTTTTTTCACATAAAGTTAACATTCTGAAAGTTTGAAGAAATTTCAATACAATTGAGTGGTACCTTCCATACAAAATTTTCATTTTTGAGCAAAAAATCCAAAATTTTGTTCGGGAGCATAGGTTCTGACATAGTTCGCACAGGTCACATTGACCCCCCCCCTAGCGCCCGACGAGGACCCTCTCTAGAATTTTGAGAAAATATTCGATTTTCCTAGGGTTTTTCACAAGGAATAAAATTATTCAATTTTGCTAGAGTTTTTTGTTGCCAGCTCTCGAACAACTACTTCCCCCCCGGAGAAGACATAGCATACACAGAAAAAAAAGATTTCGGCTGGGGACCCCCCGTCGATTTTCGGCCGTGACCCCCCCTGAGTTTTGTAGTGTCAGAACCTATGTTCGGGAGGTACCCCTAATTTGCATTGAAATCTCTTCAAACTTTCGGAATGTTTTTTTTTGTGTGAAAAAAATAACCTGTGCAAAGTTTCAGCTCATTACGATATGAGAGAGGCATGACTTTCATACAAAAATCAAAAATTGTTGAAATTTTTGTATGAAAAGTGTGTTGAAATATATTTGTATCGCAAAACTAACGTCATATTCGGTTTTTTCGTACCCAAAAACCCCCCAATACATATTTTTGAGTGTTTAGGAATACATTAAATATCACTTTTGGAAGTAAAAATTGAATTTTTCCTATCGACGGCCATGGGCATCACACCAGACATCTTCACTCTATCAACCAAAGTCGCTCAAAATCTAATGGTTTCTTCTTGTTTGAAAGTTATCGTGTTAACAAATTTTTGCGTACAGGGTACAGCGTACTACGCACATACATTCGGACATAACAAAAATGCTCCTAAAACACCCAGAAAACATGTTTTTTGAGGGTGTTAATTTTTCGACCGATTCCAATACTTTACCTTACACACTGGGTGTCTGCGGAAAAGTAAAAGTGCCAAAAACATGAATTGATTCATTGTTTCAGTTGTGTATAAAGTAGTTGGATTCAAACTGAATTCGCGGTGTGTCTGAAAACATTTAGTAGTTTATAAAATACGCAATACATATCGACATGCGTTATTCAAAATTCCAAAAGCAAATATTTTTCGGAATTCGACTGGAATATTTTGAACTCCGCAATTGCAATCATCATTCATAGACGTGACATATACGCATAACATACACTGTATATTGCGAATATCACCTGTTTCTACGCAAACTGTGTAAATAACATTTCAATGATTGACGTGTTGATTAAAATTTTTAAAAATATAATTTTTTAAATGACACGTGTTACTTTTATTGTGTACACGTAAATTTTCCATATTTTTGGAGTCGAATAATCCCTTCATGTTCACTCTTTCTCTTTCCATATGCGCGTAGTCCATATGCATATAATATTCAGAATAGTTTCTCGATACAGTAAAAAAAACTCCAAATTATATATTATATTAGAATGTTCAGTGACACTCTCCATATGAAATGATCTCTTGATATCATAATAAATGAATTGGCTGACTTAGCCTATCTTAGTAGTAGGTACTAGGTGTACTTCAATTACTCGTGCTCTGTTTATTGTTTACGACGATTTCTTTTGACGCATACATTTAGTTTGCAAAAGTTTAATTCCAAACACATGTTTTTTTAATCTTGAAAAACGACGTGTCAACGTGTGTAGAATGAGTTGATATCAACATATGGTCCTATAATACCCAACATTTTAAAATAAAAGAATGTACTACTCTGAGAAAATTGAAATGTTAAAACTGAAGGTAATTAGATTAAAATGGCATTTTAACATCTATTGTGTATCTCACATGTTAAAACGTCATTTTGCCCGAAACGAATTCGCTCAGATGTTAAAGTGACATTTTAACATTTGATCGAATTCGATTCGTGCAAAATGACATTTTAACATGTGAGATACACAATAGATGTTAAAATGCCATTTTACACGTTTGTTTGTTTTTTGTGATAAAAGTGACCAAAAATAAAATCGATCGAGCTCGTTCAGTCAATAATAGTCTAATTAAGAATGATACACAATTAAATCATTGTAAATTGCTGTTCAGTCAACTTGGTTTGGTTGGTTGGAACGAAAAAAATGCACCAATCTATTGATAAGTACGGATAAACTATTATACGTGAACTTCGTTTGAACATTCAACGATGCCGTGAAATACGTGATGGTGGTCAGTGCAAGAGGATAAAAACAGCATTTTTAGTTACATATTTGAATTGATGTGGCTTTATTGGTGGACTTATAATTTCATGTAGCCAAACATGCAACACCATTCATTGAGGTTATGTTTGAGGTACGTTGCATGCAACAACTAATTGCAGATATTGGATGGTTTTGATTGCATTGTTATTTTTTAATACTTTCAGGTGATTTATCATGTGGCAATTCGAATGCCAAAGGACAGTTCCGAAGCTATTCTCAATAAAACACGATATTTGGGCAATGATGAAGTGCA